TTAGCAATGTTCTTCCGACGTCTGATTTCTTTTTAAAAAATGCGTTTCTAAAGTGCATAAACTTTTGAGATTGACTGTATAGCCAATACATCCTTAATTAAAAAAAATTATAATGAACGATAATAATATTTCGTGTTTATAAGTTTGCTCTTACATTGCCTGTGTGCATCGAAGTTTTGTAACCATTCAAGCAGGTACATTCGTTTGGTGCCGAGCAGAATCCGTGATTTTTTTCGCAATCGTCGCTACACACCGGCTCGCAGACTTCGTTCCTCATCTCGTAGCCGTCATTACAAGTGCACGTGAACGGTTTGGTGCACTTTCCGTGTTCGCACAGGTTGTAGCAAATCGGCTGGCAATAGTGGCTCGTGAATGATGTGGCTTCATAGCCCGAGTCGCATCGGCACTGATTCGGTTTCCAACACTCGCCGTTTATGCACGGAGGATCGCAGACGGGCTTGCAATCGAATAGCGTAGACATTGTGTATCCGGTGCAACAAACTCGTTCGTTGCGATAATCCGTGTAGTACTGAAAAGATTTCGTAGCTTTTGTCGTTTCAGTTCGTTCAATTGTAGTTTCAATGTATTTATAGAAAAATATTCAATCTGCAGTTTGATTTATTATTCAACTTTCACATTCTATTATTGAAATGTTTGTCTATTCTCTTGATTCACCTCTCTTCTATAGTTCCATCGTACTTTAGTCTCATGAAAAATGCCCCACTTGGCGACTCGATATGTCTCCATGTACGGTACATTCCGCGTAGCCCTGAAACTGAGAAAACATTTCATCAAGTCGAATAATCTTCCCTTCCTGATAAGATTCTTACCTGACCAATTTCTCGCAAACGCCCACGCCGTCGAAAAGGTAATCAGCTGTGGAGACCGTAATAACGGTAAAGAGTAAAACGTAATAACGAAATATCATCTCGAGATTCACGAATGTGCACCAATAAACAATTGTCTTTGATGTGACTGCTCCGAGCGATGAAACCGGCGCTTTATTGGCGCTTATTTCTTCCTGTTAAATAGTCACGTCCTGTGTCATCGAAACAGGATGCGCGATATCGTTCCTCATTAAATGAGATTCTTAAAAACAGACGTCATTACAGTTTTATCTTTATTCGACATAATCGTACAAAGATTAGACATACATAATCGGAGACTGCTACGAATTAACTATGACACAGGCGATTCCAACATACTCACGCATACACGCATGGTTACAGAAATTATTGGATCAATCGTATTTTATTTCTCGTTTAAATACTGATTAACATCGTTTACAAAATTTCAATCAAACTTACTTCAATATTTTTTCCGAACGCACTTGGACACGTCTACGATATTTTCTATGCATTCAGCTTTTGATATTCTGAGTCCTGAATTTGTAATTTTTGTACATTCATACGTAAAATACATATAAAATTCGCATTCGTTCCTATGATAAAAAAGAGAAAACAAGGAAACGGGGAAGGAAGTTAAACTGGAACGCATCTCTGCCTGCCCTTCACGCCGGACTCCTTCCTATAACCAGGATTGCAAATGCACATATTAGGAGCCGTGCATACACCATTCGCGCATCCTCCCGAGCACACCGGCAGGCATTTTGTTTGATCCGGATCGGCAGGATTCAATTTGTACCCACGGTTACATGTGCACTGATTCAGACCAGTGCAGACTCCGTTCAAACAAGGCAGTTCGCAGATGGGCTCGCCAGTATAAAGTATACATTTTCCAGTATCAGGATCGACTCTGAATCCAGGGAAGCAAGAGCAACGGTTGGGTGCCACGCACCTACCGTTCGGTCCACAATCCGGAAAGCATTGCGGCTGATTATTTTGATCAGGCGTTATCTCCGGACACCTTCCGGTATTGGGATCCACGGCCATGCCGAAGTTGCAGATGCACATGTTAGGACCGACGCATATACCTTGGCTACCGCATCCGTTTCTGCATTCAAATGAGTCGGTGAACGGGACACAAGTCCTTGTATCCCGGTTTAACTTGAATCCGACGTTGCATGTGCATTTGTTGTAGCCGACGCATCTAGCGTTCGGCCCGCAGCCTGTGGGGCAGTCTGTTGTTTGTGCGTCTGTAGGAATGCATGCCCCGCTTGAGTCGCGGGAATAGCCGGAATTGCAGTTGCAAACGCCTGGCGCGACGCATTCGCCGTTGATGCAGTCTTGCGAGTTCTGGCAGCTCGGCACGCACTTCTTATCGTTGTTTAACTTGTAACCCGGGTTGCAAGTGCATTGATTGGGACCGACGCACCTGGCGTTGAGTCCGCAACCTGAAGGGCAGTCTGTCACTTGCGAATTCGAAGGAATGCGCGTGCATATACCGTTTGAGTCGCGGGAGTAACCGAAATTGCAGTTGCAGACGTCTGGCGCGACGCACTCGCCGTTGGTGCAATCTTGGCAACTCGGCACGCACCGCGCGTTGCTGTCCAATTTATAACCTGGGCTGCAAGTGCAAACTCCGGGTGCTACGCACTCGCCATTGGGACAGCCCCGTGGACATTGAGGATTGCATTTATTTCTCGGACCGAGCTCGAAGCCTGGATTGCATCTGCACACTCCCGGTGCCACGCATTCGCCGTTGCTGTCGCAGCCTTCGGGACACTGTGGGATGCATTTGCTGGTCGAGCCGAGGTCGAGGATGAAACCTGTTGAGCATTTGCAAACACCAGGGGCGATGCATTCACCGTTGGCGCATCCCGTGGGGCAGTTAGGTATACAGGATTCTTTGTCACCTGGTGGATTGATGAATCTGAAAAAGAGAAACCGTCTTTTTAATTCCAATTTTTCAATACGATCGACGATGACTAAATGAAATGCGATGTTAATATGATGTGAACGAAATGATAAATGATAATGGTGATGGAATAGTTACCCTTCGCGACAAGTGCAGACTCCCGGAGCAGTGCACTCTCCGTTTCTACACCCATTCTCACAAACAGGCACGCATTCCTTGCTCTCAATTCCTGTAGCAGTATCCATTGTCGCTTTGATGACAAATCCTGTCTTGCACCTGCACACCCGAGGTGCTACACAATCGCCATTCTTGCAGCCACCAGGGCAAATGGGTTTGCACTCTCCATTTATCTCCTCGTAGCCCAGCTTGCAAGCACACACGTTCGGTGAGAAGCAGTAAGCGTCTTTCTGACATTGTTGCTCGCAGTAGGGCATACAGACACCCTTTTGAGAGAACCATCCGGGCTCGCAAGTGCATACGTTCGGTCCTGTGCACTCGCCGCCGAGGCAACCCTCTTCGCAACGTGCGATGCAACTGCCGGAAGTGCTGTTCCGTTCGTAGCCATCGCAGCAATCTAGTATAGTGATCCATCCACCCTTCTAAAAGAGAGACTCTTATTGTAGTTATTAGGATTTGCAGACAAAACATTTATATCAGTTACGAAAATATAAAACGTGCATGTATAATGATACTCCAGACGTGAGATCAAAAGTGCGAGTTACTCCTATCGGGATTTATTTTTGTAAATTGACGTGATAAATATTTTACTTTATGCAAAGATCTGTAATCTGAGAAATGTTGAAATACTTTTATTAACACTAGATTGCCCAAGGAAGTAATTTTGACTGCTTTTGGGCAAATGTACAAATAATAATGGATAAATTATTTTTTTTCCCAAGTGAAGTAAATTTTTTTTATTGTTAACATTCACTAATAACTTGTTATATGACTGTAAATAATATAAAAAATATTAAAAATTAATTTTAGACAAATTTCTTTACACATTATTCTTTCACAATGCAGTCATTTTTACTGCTTTGGGCAATATAGGTATATACTAAGTTTCAGTCTTTCTAGTGTTAATTATGTTTTACCGTTTCCTCCTGCGGAGTCGAAGGCAGAGTGTTATGAGGGAACTGTCCAGTAGAATTTAATTCCAACGCGTCTGCGTAACTGAAAGTGCAGAAATTGCCGATAACAGGGATCAAAGGTTTCGTTGCATATTCTGCGACGTTTCGAATTTTCGACTCACCGTATCCTCTTGTAACAAAGTCCTGCGGATATGGTGCTGTTGACCACGGATTGTTGGTCGTGATGGACGCGACGTCCCTTGACGCCCTCGACGGCCAAGGCGTCGGACGCGAACAGCGTCAAAACGATGAAGAACAAACGAAGCATGTTGAGCGCGCGAAGAACGATGAACAACTGGTTTCTTATTTTCTTGTCGCGCAGGATGACATCTCTACCGATAACATTTCCGCGGCGGGGTCACATCTCTTCTTCGATCCCGATTACGTAGTTATTCGTAGAAATGTTTGTGACCCGTGTCGAAATTCCCAGCTCTCAACGTATTTGAATAGTTTTTTCTATCTCGAGATATACTAAACTTCTTGACACTTCGACAATTGTGTATAATAGATTCCAAGTATCGTACATCAATCAATTCTCTTGACAGATTCATCTCTACTCTTCCTCACTTGAGAAAATTTTTTTTATTCCTTAACTTGGATTGGTTTAAAGACAAGTGGATTGGAATGGATTTTCGTATCGCTGGTTTATGGAGTGCATCAAAAGGATGGAAGGTCTTGGAATCATGTTTATACAATTAGATCCGAGTATTAATCGTCACTGTATTTTTTTATTTCTTAACAAATTGTGTTCTTCGGCTTGGACCGAGGATGTACTTTTGGTACAATGGAAGTGGAGATTCGTGTGTTGCCAGTTTATGTAATCCATCAGAAGGATGCAGTGCGCGGCGAGATAAAACCCAGCTGTCCTATTTTTAAAGTACGATAAAGCGAAACCTCGAAACGGTTCACCGGAGAAAACGGGAAAGAGAAGAGTGCAAAATAAGCTGGTAGCTTTCGTGGAAAATCGAATGGCCAACGCAAACATGATTATCTAAACCGTATCCTAATTACTCGTTATCGGTTTCGACTTTTCTTTTTTTCATCAACTTCACATCGCGTGTATCTACTGCGTTATTCCCGTGACACGAATTCGCTAATGGATTTATTATTATCGGTGATGTCAGCGTGTAGGCGTACGAGTGTAATCGCCGCTAGATGAATCTCAATGAATCATACGACAAGTCTTTGGATCGAACTCTTTGGCATCGTCAAACACTATCACATAATACATAATAATGAAAGAAAAATAATGCCACGATGTTTGTTTCTAAACAAAACTAAATATAACAGAATTACATATAAGTAATTAAAATACGACTACAATTAGATACGAGTAACTTACGAAGATAATTATCTATACACGTATAAAGGGTGAAATTGCTCTTATTGAATCGGCAGGCGTACTATGATTACGAATCAAACGAGTTTCTCGACCGGTGAAATTTTCGAACGCACGTGATTGCATGGAAGAACCGGTGTTCGATTGTCGTAAACTGGGCTCGACAGCGTAACGAACGGGCCCCGAGGAAAAGTTGCCTTTGATCGTTTAATCGGCGCCGCGAATCGAGTACCGTTTTTATCGGTCCAGTCACGTTCAGCCTTGCGCACTGGACGAGCCCGCGCGTAAGGTCGGAAACCGGTCCGGTTGGATTTTTCATCTGTAGCCGCGTAGACGAGCCGGCTCGCTCACATCCGCCTCCGGAATCGCACGCGAGCCTGACACGCGAGCTCGACACGAAATTCACGCTTTTTGTACTACTCGAATTTCCTACCCGCATACTTGAGATATTGTACGTGCAAAAAGAGTTTCTGTACATTTTACGTAACGTGCAGAAGATTTAAATATTTTTAAAGTAGACTTATTTGTTTAATTAATAAATTCAATGAAAAGAGTACGTGACTTAATAAAATTGCGAACTTCTATCGTTGGTTCGATTTTTGAAACTCTTTTCGCACGTGTCTTATACGTAAGTCTCCCACTAAGGAACTGTTTAGATTTTACATTTCGATCACGCGTGGTCGCGACTGCTTAAGGGATTCGATTGCAGTGGAATTTCGTCATATACGTGTTCCGTATCGAAGTCACCTTGCAAGCGAATCCGCGTGGAAGGTGGTCGATCATAGTGATCATCTTGGAAGAAACCTAAAATTAGACGATGTCGTCGTTGCGACGCGAGCAGTGAAAATCGATTAATACTGGAAATAGGCTCACCGTGTAGATTCCCTGACAAATGTAGGCCAATGGTGGCGGCACCGTTGGCATAATTGCAGGAGTCGATGTTATCCATTCTCAACATTGTCCTCGGCTCTGGCGTCGAGAAGATAGGTCCCAGTTGAATTGGCGTTTCTATGATAATATTCAAATATTTGGAACTTAGACATTTTTTAAGAAACAGCTCAATTTCATTGAAGTTTCGTAAAAATCTCAAGAACACCCTGTCACCCCCGAGGAAAAGGGGGAAAGGCGCGGTGGTTGTGATCCTCATCGGACGTTACGAGATGCTCGGGATAGGATTACGCGGAGGAGATCGGGGTCAAGGGCTTCACCGGATTTCACGCGAGAAAGCAGGATTTCGCGAGCCGGATACTCACGGGGAAGTGCGCCGTTGACTATCGACGAGATCTTGGTCCCGTTTACATTCTGTTGGCTCTTCGCCCTGGCTTCCTCGTAAATCGACGCCCTGGCCGCCTCTAACAGCTTCGAACGCATGTGGAGGACCATTACCACCGCTACCGAGGTTAAACCCAGTGACACGATCGAGGCTACCACGATCAACGCGATGTCCAACGGAATTGGTGCTGGCTGAACATCTGTTCCAAGTTTATTGCTTAAGTCGTATATTTTAACTGGCGATGTAAATCCGATTTTTATGTACAGAGTGACTTAGAAATTGGTTGGTAGAAGATTCGAAACACGAAAGTGAAAGGTCAATAAAATTCAAACTGCTCGACTGTACCTTTATGAATGTTTTTCACATAATCTGTTTTCGGTCCAATATTGTTGTCGTCAATGTGTTTCATGAACGGATTCTTCATGAAAAATGTGTCTTGATCCTTGTCGACGTTCCTCCTGCGTTCGGGAACGGAAACCAAGACGATGACAGGCCTGGGCGTGCTCGAGTTTCCCTTGTCGCGTGTCTTCGTCTTCTGATTCGAGGTCCACATGGTCCACGTGTTCTCGACGCTCGTAGGGTTCTCGGTGGTCGCGAGCATTTCGTAATCGTCTTTCCGCAAAATCCATATCAAACAAATTTATTAAGTCCGTTACTCCAGCACTCGGCACCATTGAGTTATTTGCTGTCTGAGTTTTCACGAAGTGGAAACGTTTGCGCATGTATTATGTATTCAGACTCGACTTTCGACCAACAGTTGCTTCACGCGGATAAATATCTCACCTCGGGCGAGAATTCACAATAAAATTCACTTTCATTATTCTACATGAATTATGAATTAATCATCCATGATTTAACAATTTCTCTTATCCCACTCAAAGTTGTTCAATCTTCCAAAAGAGGTAATTTACCTTCTGTAGTATTCTCTGTTGCCCAGAAGTGAATTGCAGAGGTGAAATCCTTAGCCACACTGTTCTCCTCGTCTCTGGAACGAGTTATGTTTTCGAAATCGGAGAGCTCGATGCACCGACCAGTTTCTGGATGACATTTGTTCGAATTCTCGCATTCGCAGGGGAACGCGCATTCCGCTCCCCAGCGATCGCTCGGACACGACTCATTGCACCTGGAAACGGTAATCACGTCGGTGAGAAACGGGAAATAGCTATCGAGCTGCTTATTACAGTCCGGTTCAATCAACAGGTTGCTAGGTTTATGTAATTCAATGGTAAACACATAAATGGAACTTGCTACACTGAACATGATAAATTAGGTTCACATACTGTTATCTTGAATCAGTTTTCTTAATAGATCATAGATTTATGGAGTTGACCACAAAATATACGAAACATTAATTATCGTTCTTATTAATTATTGTAGCAATCATTTTAAAAATGCAGTGCCAATTATTATATGAAATTCTAATTTTCATAATAATATTTATGGCTGGCACTGCATAATGCAAATTAGTCGAGTTAGGTTTAATTGGAGAAGAGAGAAATTTACAATGAACTTTTGTAACTTACGCGAGTCCACGCAATCCTTGCGGACAGATGCAGCGTCCATTTACGGGATTGCAAGGTACGTCCTCGGCGCAGTTGCATTTCTTCTTACACAGGACACCCCACGTGCCCGCCGGGCATGCTGGAAAAAATAGAGCGGATCGTTGTGAATCGCGTAACGATTAAGGATTCCCCTATTGTAATTGCGCAACGGTGACTAAGCTAAGCCTATTTTTCTCTCTTTCCGTAACGACGTTCAGAGAGTGGAAAAAATAAGGGGAAATGTCGAATCGTCCGATTTCAGAATCGCAGGCGCGCGTGAAATTTATTCACTGCTCGCACGCGTTCTCGCTCGATGATGGAAGGTCGGCCGGCTCCATCGAGCGTGAAATATATGCACCACGTTATACTCTTTAAATTTATTTGCATCCCAATCAATTTCTATATTGATTTTTAAAATAGAAACAATTCTCAGACAAGATTAAACGCAGTTTTATCGCGAATAATAATTTGCCACCAGTTTTCTCTGAACAATTACGATGAAGTTATAAGAAATGGTAGCTCACGGATGTCACAGTTATCTCCTTGATGGCCAGGAATACATCGGCACCGGCCCGGTGAAATGCAAGCTCCGATCAAACATTTCTCACAGAAGGGCCTACACTTGATTCCCGTCTCCTCGTCGGATGGCATTTGTTCATAGCCTTCGCAGCACTCTTGCACGTCCCTAGTTTTCACCTCCGTCTGCAAATCAATCCCCAAAATACTAAAAATATTATATCAGATTGCAGATTTTATGCATTCTTACGAAAATTAAATTTGCAGGTGATGTGATGATGCCATAGTGTGTGAAATTGTGTATTGGGAGTACGAAAAGTTGAATGATACGAGAAATGTTTATGTAACATTTTTTAAAAGCGAAAGTCCGCAGTTTATTTATAAACTGTATGCCTATCCAGTTCTTAAATCAAGATACGAGTTGATAGACTTATCGGAAAAGTACTTTTAATGTGAGTTGGGAACACTAACTAGTATTCCATGTAAATTGGATAGTTTGGTTAAATGGGGCGATAGACCAGGAAATTTAATAAACGTCAAGCCTGGGAAAGCGATTAGGGGAAAAGTAGGCCGGCCATCGAGTGGAGTCGTTCTGGCAGCTGGATCTTTGGAAAAGATCCCAGTTCGCCCTCCGTAACGAGATCCCAATCGGTGGTAAAGCACTGGGCTGGCTCGAGCGAACGAAAGCGAGCGTGTAACGGTTTCGTTCGTAGCTAGTAAGCGGATATGCGCGAGAAAACCAAAGTCCACCCGTGATGGATCGTTTTACACCTCAATCAAACCGTGACAAACTATTTTTACTGTAAAAAGAAATTTCGAGTTCGTAAGATTTAATTACCGATCAAATCAAACTTGTAGCCAGTTATCTTTTAGGTAATTACAGTGAAAGTGTTACGACGTAAATTAATTTGGTATAAAAATTTCTTTTAATGCGTAGAAGTAGATATGATACTTGCGTGGCTCGAAGTCGTGTAAGGGAAATGAGACTAGCCTAGTCAGACACTATCTGCGACTGTCTTCCAGATTTTCTACTACACCTTGGTTGTTCACGTATTCAAACAGAGAAATTATATAAAATAACGAAATGGAATTGCTCGCAGGGATAAAATGAAGATTGGCGAAATTATTTAATACTTTCGCGTGTCTATCTCATCTTCCGGGCGGAAATTCACGCGTTTTAGCTAGACTGACGCTATCGGCGCGAGATCGTTGTCAAAGATAAAGTCGATCAACGTAGCACGGGTGACGCCATCGATTCCGCCACGCTTTGGTCTAATGTTGCAATTAGCTATCTATCTTTCTCGACGAGATATTCGTTATGCAAGTAAACTCGTGGATAGATCGCATCGGTCATTGCGCGTGAATCGAGACGAGCCGATCCCGACGGAGGAAAGAAAAAAGTACTAAAGAAGGAAATCGAGGTGATTTCTTGCACGTCCGTTTCATAAATCATTCAAGTACCATTTACACTTTAAACGAAACAGCTTGACGCTTAATAAATACCTCTGGTTCCTAATGAACCCGCGTTTTTACATTGTTAAGTGGATCGAAACTGTGTGAACGCGTCTTTCGACATCGATCAAAGTTCATTATCCAGAAACAAGCGTCATCGATACAAAACAGCGCGTACAGTTCCCTGAATTGGGCAACTCCGTATCAGCTTCCATAGATCATTCATCTCATGCATAGTCGACGCACGTAATGCGTCCTCGTTTCCGACTTTTCTTCGAGCTGTTACAGCGATATCGCGTGTTTCGTTCTGATTCATGATTCGAGATGCTAGTTACGGACCACACAGAGTGGCTCGAGTTTCCCAGTTATGTTCACCTAATTTATTCGACAGAAACTCCTAATTAATCTTTCCCCTGTCGAATCATTTTTTCGGGTAACAGCGATTTTTTCTGAACGAAGTTGACAACGTCGCGTTAATTCCAATGCGTTTCTCTTTTTCTGTTTCCCTTCAGGGAAAATCAGTTTTACTCGACTGTTTACTTCGAATTGCGATTACAATTTGACACGCAAGAGTATTTTATATTTTAATAAAGCAGATTGCAGGAAAAAAGGGAAGCCTGATATTTCTAATCAATTATGGATTTTCAAATGCAATTGAAGGTAATGAGAACCATGATTTAATTGGACGTATTTCCATTCAATTTTTCATACGTTTCTAGATAGAAGTGTGAGATAGAAATTAACTGATTAATGATCGTTCGGACAGATAATTACTATAAAACGCCTCTGTTAATTAAAATACAGAACTGTTGACAGGTAGATATTAATTATAACAGTGATTCGGATTATTAATTATCTAACACAAACTTTTACGTAATTTCTATTTCCCTGAGTAATTTCATTCCGAGATTTCAATTTTATCTCCTTTTTCAAGTTTGAAAATCGTTTTTGTAGGCCGCGTTTCTTGTTTTTCTGATAATCCCAGTTCTACTTTAAACGCGTTCAAGGCTGGTATTGATTGTTTTACGAGCAATATTTCCCATTACTATCACCGACGTTGGCTTACACATACGAATCTCATTAATAGTCGTGTGTTTCAATGTTAAACTCCTTTCCTCAAGTTATCATTCTAATCATTTTCTTCGGAATATGACTTTCACAATTGCTATCACCGAGGTCGTCTGATCGCTATCCATTCCAGTTAAGATCCGTGTCTCAATGTCACATTCTTCAAGTATCTCCGACTGCAATTCGTGTTTCTCGTGGAGGTGCTCAAAAATCTTCAATGTGATTTGTAATAATGGACAATGAGAAAAAATATTATATGGACGAAACAAAAGCATGGATCTAATAGTTTCCTCTAGACAACTTTTAATCTTTGGTATTGCTTCGCATTTATGACAGAAGCTTGTGTCACTCCCGCTGTAAACATTCCCTAAAGCATCCGATAATTACTTTCCCTTTCCCATACCAGCATACTTCTCTCCCTTTTTCCAGCTATTACGTTATTAATTACATCCTCGGCGGAGCCGTCGAACGTTTCAAAGAAGCCCCAGCCATAGTAATCGACAGTTGCAGCCGGTGGCGAAACACGAATCGCGCGAGTGTCGAGCGGAACCGAGCTGCCATGTTGATTTTTCGAATATTCCTAAGAATCTATACTCCCCCTCCTCTCTGTTTCTTTATGCGTTATGCAATTCGCTGCGTAATACGGAGCAAAACGATGTTGCTACGCAATAAATATTAAGCTCCCGTTCTAAACCGTGAGAGACTTGGGTAATAACGAGCTGTATAGAGCGCGTTCGATGCCTCTTTCTCATACATTGTCAGAGCAACGCCTGTTTCGTGTACAAATATTTTTCTAAACACTTCCCAGTAACTCTCAATGGTTAAACTGATCGCGAGTTGATCGATGTCCAATGAATATTATGAACAATGTGAACGTGCACTATTATACTCTTCGAGTAAATATATTTATTGAAGCAATTGTAATGTACTTAGTGTACATTCACATGAATTAAGTGCATATACATTTATGTCTACGACGACGATTTCAGAGACAAATCGAGGATATTCACACCCACGCTTAGTTGCGGTTTCGCCCCGTTTTCCATTTCAGGGCGAGAGCGTTGCGTTTCTCGATGGCGAAACCCTCGCGAGTTTTAGACGCTTTTCTCTTCCGGCAGCTCGTTATCTCGATGATCGGGTGCGTGCAACGTGCACGCAATTGCATTGAAAAATTACCCAATCTTATTAAAAAAACAATCCACCTCTCATGTCTCGAAATGTAAATATACGTTCAGCCAGTCTACTGTTTGATTAAATGAAATCTACGCTTTATTGGCAAAGAACTGTTTTTATAATTAAAGCACGTTTTCGTATTGAAAACAATTGCAAGATCAAACGTTTGGCTTGCGTTTAAACAAATTGTTTCCCTGAGCGAAGCATTAGAGAAAGTTTGAGCCGCGAGTTAGAAGGGTATCCTGTTCAAGCCTATTTGAACGTCGATACCCGGACAATCGGAACACGGACGTCTCGTTACGAAAGAGTTACGCGCTCGGATCATTCTACAAGTAAATAAACGCGGTACGTACATCTGCGTTGGTCACGGAGAAACACGCTCTTTTTTCCACGCTCTTTTTCCACAGAACGCATTTGCATTAAACACAGCGCACTCGCTTTCTTCCGCTCCGCGGACATGCAGATCGTTACGTAAGATCTTGGATACCGGAATCGTAGCCCTGAATCTCGATTCGGACTATAGATAAATTGAAAATACATGGATCAGTCTCTAATTGATTTATAGTCGGACGATGCCAATTAATCGATTTTATCGATCGTCGTATCGAGGATAAATTAATTGGTGGTAATGACGACGAGTCCCACGGATAATTGTTTCATTTTATATTCTAATATTATTTGACATTGTGACGTCCAATTAAATGAAAAAAGAAAATAGAAGATTTAATTGAAACATTTACAGGAAATGATAAAATTGTTGTAGGAAATGACATCACTAAAACATTCTACGAATACTGAATGCGCACATCAGATTCCATGAAATGATCTTTATAAGGAATATGCATAATAAACCGTGCTCGTTATTTAACGGCTTCTAATTTGCATGTTAACCGAGCAGGTGTTACGTTTCGACCATTAGACGGGAAGCAGTTAAACAACCCCATTAAATTACCTGCGCAACACGACATCGAGAACACTATTTTACCGCAAGAAAATAAATCCTGGAAAATGTTTTCCTCGCTGAAAGAAAATCCGGTCTTTTACTCGAAAGAGCTCTCTTTCTTCCAGTGATCCGTCATCCTGCCAATTTGCCCATCCGAATTTTCTTCTACGAATTCCTTGACGTGACGAACATTCAATTCTTAACACATTTTCTGCTTTCCTTTTTACAACACGAAGTCTAAAGGTAATTTCTAAGCACACTTCGATGTAATTTCAATAGACATCAAATAAGTTCTACTTTGGAATTTATACACGATTTTTATAAAACATAAGAGAGTTACGAAATCTGCTTTGCGTTTTACAATTCCTTTTTCTTTTTGACTTTCCCGTCCACGTGGTTTTGCTACCGAGTAACTTTCGGTTTAATTACGTGATTGAAAATCTCGTTCGGTGACGTAACATCGGTCAGCGTGGATGCAATTAATTAGCAAGTGTCGATCGTAATCCGTCGACGTGTAATTAAAGTCTTTCACAAAAATTGACGTCGTTCGAAAAATAAATCTATTTGCTATAAACAGATTTTGCATTTCTAAAATTGAAAATGGGAACGGCGCATAAAAATCTAAAGTGATTTTCAAACGATGAATGAAATTCCATCTTTTATCTAATCGATTTATTTCGCCTAAATGTCGGCATTCATATAAACTCGTCTGCACAATAGAGGAAAGTGAAAAATCGGGAAGAAGCGAAAGTGGTAATACTCACCTTGACACGGTAGCGATGCCTTATCTCTGCGCGTTCTTTCGGACACCTGGGAGGTATTTGAAGGCACCAGGTGAATGTATTCACGATTACTGGCTCGTCGTACGTTTCCATCGACGTGACTGTGTAGCTACAATGTTTGATCAATTAAGTGTTACCTTTATCGGGCGGGCTGCCGTAATAAATGAACTCCGGATTATTGTCAAGGTTCCGTCTGACTGTCATTAAACGCTTTTACAGTTTAAAGTTGTATGAACCGTAAAATCTCTGTTAAAAATTTAAGACAAGCAAAATTTCTAAAATTTTCTAATGCTTTATGATTGTTTTTCTGTAAGGGGTTCATACAACCTTAACGAATAGAAAGAAAAATATCAAAATGCCTGATATTTTTCATTTAATTATATTTACTTGTGATTTTATGCAACGACTGTTCAGTAATCGATAACATTTGCAATTTTTATCTCTACTCACTTTTCCTTTCTGGTGCATATACTGTTCTCCGAGAATACTCTAGGCGAAGAAGCAATCAGCAAGGGGATCAACAGCCAAATCATTGGAACAGTCATTTCAAGCCCTAAAAGTTAATATCAATCCTCGTGAATAGTTTTATTAATAATTATTTGGAAGATACATAGTGTTCAATATTCACGTTTGTCGGAGCTGAGAGATCGATGCCTACTAGGTTGAATTATCAAAGTGTCTTTAAAAGAATGCTTGGAACGAGCCGGGCAGACTTCGATGGCGTCTATCGAACGAACGTGACGCCTCCATCGTCTCGCGTGTCACTCCTTCGCCGGAAACGGATCGAGGTATCCGCCGCGACGGTGTAAATGCCCGGTCTCTAATGCAAAGTGTTCGGTTACTAACGGTAACAAGAAACGCAATGCAAAATTCTGCAAATGAAATATCTCATCCAATTGTAATTACAGTAAAGATCCTGATGAATTTTGATAAGAACTAGCTTGTAAAAAAGAAAATCATGGGCCCGCGGATTTGAACAAATCGTAGATGAAATTTTGCTGTTCTTTCAGAATAACGTTCAGATATAATTGATAATAATTGAACAAGAGGCAAGATTTAGCACGTGAACGGGTAGTAAGAAAAGTAAGTGGAAAGCGCGGCGCGCCGGAAATTGCGACGCCGATATTCGATGTAAGAGGGACAGTGATCCCTTACAAAGGACGTTCTTTGCGACAGGAAGTGCTAAGTTGATCCAATTGACTGATTTATTCGTCTGATAAACATGTGACTCGATGTAAATAATGAGCCTACGTCACTTGCCCCTTCAATTCCGTCAAAAATCACTTACGTCGACAAATATCGCCAATTGCAAATTCCTTTTCACTACAAATAAATAAAATTAGTGTTATCTTCAATATTTTTTACTTCTATTATATACAATAGGCAGCGAGCTTGCACTGTCACCGACTGAACTTCTGGCCCGGCCGACCCAGCGAGCCAGACTGGCACATGTGTTTTATAACTCAATTTCCCGTCGTATTTTTTTGCACGATCAGGGAAAGGTCGCGAGAAATTGTTTCCACAGCGTGTCACTATCGTGAGAAACATTTCTCCCTATCCGCTTTTGCGTAACGCTTTTTGATGCATTGCTCGCGTAGCGTTCGTGAATGAACAAGATATGATCTGCGACGCATTCAGATTCGAGATCACCGTGGAAGATTAACGCTGATCTTAATTGTACGATTATCCCGGGATGTATCAACCTTGGCTTTCAAGAGGAATTTCAAACAGCATGATTAATTCAATAGGGGAGACCTTGCTATTTCAAACTCGCACGTCGCCGAGAAAAATATTCCACTCTTCAATACAATAATCGAGTTCAATTCAGATTGAAATTATTTGCGCGTTACATGCTACTGAAAATTGTACTAACCTAAATCAATTTAGTCATCTAATAGCGTAATCGCGTCGCGATTAAATTATAGAATCTCGTCTAATAGTACAGCTCGCTTAATAAGTATCATCGAGCGCATAACTTAATTTCGACTACTTTCGATTTCCCGATTTCCCGATTTCATCGATGGAAAGTCGATCTTACGACAGAGGAAGCGGCTGTACCGGTTGGTTATTTATAGTGATTCACGCAATAGTATGTCAACTTAATTCTATATTATTGCTGAAATAGTAATTTTCGTATTAACTAAATGGAACATTTTTACTTATGTCACTGTAGCGAGCTGAATATTCAAAGAAATTTAAATCCTCTGTTTGGTATAGTTGATAAGAGATACGGCTCACTTTGTCATTACGGAATTTACGTCTCGGTGAAAATCGTTCTCACAGCTTCCCATGTATGGTCGATGAGAAAATCATAATTGTTACAGACCAGGCTAATTTTCGCTACGGAATAATTACGGCGCCTTGGGAGTAACTCTCCTATATACATACGTGATCCTGGCTCAAAGAATTCCTCGAGATTTTGCGCAATTAAACAGTCTGTTCCCATGCGAGGAGGGGCAGAAGGCACACGCGGTGAAACCGTAATAAATCAATCGCACGTGGGAGCGTGACGAAAAGTCAGTTAATGACGTGACTCGTATCGTCTTCGCGAGGAATTTTCATCTGGTGTTTAATTAAAATCTCAAGCCTTCGCTAATTGGAAAAGCTCTCACAGAAACAAATTTTTAAGATCAAAATTTACATCCTCGCGGACTCCATGATTCAATTGACAAATCCCTTTGACAATAAGAGATAAATATAATACGTGGTTGCACTCTGAACTCATTTCCAAGTCACAGGACACAGAACTTTCGAATATAGTAAAACGATTAGGATGTACCAGTTGAATCAGCCCCAGGACGAAGGATGCAGCTGGTCGGGTCCTCGAATTCGCAGAGATGTAAACGCTGAAAGACGTCGTCAGCTTTCACAGACCGATTCACAACTGGCTTGGACGTCCGTAACGAGCAATTGGCGTCGTCGCCGGGCACTCGGAATGCACTTGTGGCACAATGAACTCCGACCCTAGCGGCCGGCAACGAGGACGAGTACACACGCACACAGAAAAGAGAAGGTGGGGCCGCAGAACCGGTAGGACACCCAGAGGGGGCGTACTTCTAGGTCCAGTTTCCTTTCGGTGAAAGAGACGGAGGGCAATCGAGCACTCTCCGAGAAGCACCGAGGATATCCTGTCCAGAGACATTGACACTGTCCGGGGAACCGAGCGTAACGAAGTTCACGATCTACGCTTTCTTTCACAAGATTCAGGACAAGTACTCGATCCTTGCACAAAATAAGTTAAACATTCAATTGAAACCATGTGATAAAGCATATAACGAAAACATACAATAAATCAGCAACAATCAGATATTTATGAAATTTCCCCCATATTCTTATTTAGGAGGAAAGAACAAGTTGTACTAAATAGGGTAAGAATTGGACATACAAATTTTACCCACATATACTTAATCAAAAAACAAGAAAAACCCATGTGTACAAACTGCAACTCAATAGAACACGTAACGAAGCCAACTCAATAGAACACGTAATTTATTCCTGTCCATTATTCGATCAAGGAAGAAGAAGGTTCAAGATCCAAGGCAACATCAAAGACGTCACCGGTTCTAAAGACTCGTGCAAAAACCTGATCAACTTTTTTCATTAAATTGATGAAATTGATTTAACTATATTTCTTGTGTATAATATTGTGGTTGCTAATGACTCTTAAGAGGTTGATGTGACTCTAAAAATAACTTAAAAAAAAAAAAAAAATTTCAATAAAATGAAGGCCTATAAGTAATTTTCCTTTTCCATTTATTAAACTTGTACATTTTTTTCATACAGCAAAATGCTACAAATACTTATTTGTTCATTCGTGCTGTTAAAATCTCGCACTCTTTATAATATGCATTAGGACTTACGAATGGGGATCTACCGGCCCTTCAAAGGGTGCCGACGGTTGAAACGATTAAAGGAAATGGAAGAAGGGCGTAGCTCGAGCGGCTGGTTTGCATGAAGGTCTGGGTTAAATGATGCATTTTGCGTGTCGACGGTAATTGCTGTAATTACAGGGAAAGTTACTAGGGTTGGAGCACGGGAACTCGTCTCTTGCGTTACATTACATAGGTGTCAACTGATATAACCCGTTTTCACTTTATGACACAAACGTCTTTATTAATGTAATCGACCATCATCTTGATTTATTCATTGCTGTATTATAAATCTATCCGTGAGTCACTAAAAAATGTTAATTCAAAATTATCTATTTATCTGACAGAAACACATTTCGATTTTTTAAAATATGAACAGTCATTTAATGATCTTCATCGCATTATTAATTCATGCGAAGTCTGTTTTCGTAATAAGTTATTATAAGTGTGTGTAATTTATAATTACCAATTAAATTCAAGTGACAGTATGAGAAATCAATTAATACTTAGAAAAGAAATTATTTTTTAAAATTTCGAAAAATGCTTCAAACGAAAGTTGTAGGTATTGCTATTACTTGTAAAAAAAAAGGTCGAATACAATTTTCTTTTATTTTGAACAATTTAGGACTAGTCGATTAATTAATTCGTACATCGCCAATTATTTATTTAAGAAAATTCTTCGAACAGAGTACAAATTCTCCTTTCTTTTCCACACATCATTAGAGGTTCGAGTTGCCTCATAAACGTCCCCTGGGCGTTAATAAATCCGGCATGCAGAGGTATAATTAAGACATACGATTACATACCGTGTTCGCATTCAACCATTCGTTACGCGGAACTCTTTCTAATCCCAGCCGCGTTCCGCGGATTCTTTGATCTCGCGTTCTTTGCAAAATAACGCAGTGGCAGATGTTGCCTATCCCACAATGAAATTCGTGGCTAGAACCTAAGTAGAGCCGGCCTAATGGGATGATTGGGAGAGCAATTCATCGCGTTCCCTCCTGCACGCAACCGTCGCGACGGGCATCGGTCATTTAATACCGTGACGAACTACATCCGATGAAATCGAGTAATTAACCGATTACGAAGTAAACATGTCACAGACCTTCAGATATTCCAAGCAGCGCGCGATATCTAGGCTCATAATTACACAGAATAATTCTTGAGAACTGTTCTTGCGAACGTTGTGCTTCTCTTGTTATTATAAGTTTTCTGCATATCATTCTGAGTATGAATTTTGTTCAGACAGCATATTAATCGGCTGTTCCGTTTCGTATAATAATTTAATACTTCGTGAACGTAAATAATTAGCGAGTGCAGATTAGTTGATTAAAAGTCATCAAGAAGTTTTAATTGAATTCACCGAAACTGGTCACGTGCGGCTAAGGATAGTCCTCATTAAATATCCGGTGACCGGCGGCGACCTAACAAGCTAATTAATGCAAATGGTTTTAAACGACCGCACGCGGTTACCAGTGTCGCCAGGTTTCCATCGCGATTAATCAGGCTCTCGCAGTTTCGCGTGAAATCACGCGTGCGAGTCTCGAATTGTTGGCAGTTCCTACTAGGAATTACCAGTTCGGCTCGCAATGATTTAAGACCTCGAATGCAATCTGCAGATAAACAAACATGATCACGCAGTTTGTAGATTAAATTGATGACTTACTGAGAGTCAATCAATTTTTTTTTATCGGATGACAAATGTTTTTAATGGAAACGTTTCCCGGTATCGATGTCATTTATTTCTAAACTGTCAACTGGTAGAAAAACTTTCGTTTCAGCGTCGGTTCGTTGCTTTTTCCACGAAACACTCGATTTCAAAACGATCTGTGTCAAGAACGTTAGATGTGCGGCCTGAATTATGACACGCGTGGTTGCTTTTTGAGAATCGACACGATTCCAGTTTCTTCGACTGTATTGACGAGGAGGCCTAGTCTACGTGAGATCTAAGAGGCTTAGATCTCGCGTACTCAGCGAAATTCAACGCCGACAAACAACCCATTTTGCGCAGTGGCCAAGAGTCTGTCATCCTTCCTACCATCTTCAGCCTCCTAAGCACTCGGTGATCTGATTTTATGGATAGTGGTCTCGGCAACTTTTAAATTGGCCCAGAGATTTATAATCGATGCGAAACTGAATGATCTATGGATATTAGCAATCGTTACTGATCCAACAAAATAAAGACTCCGACAGTGAAGAAGTTCCTACTCGAAATATAATGTAGAAAAGTTATAACTATTGGGTTGGGGAATAAGTTCGTAGCGTTTTTACCGAAGACTTTTATTTAAACAAAAAACAATAATTATATCAATAAGTTAATCAATTATAGAATCGTTTTATGATCGCAGTTCATTTTTTCCGCCAATTCACGACTGGTTTGGCGACCGTTCTCCTTCAAAAGTGATTTGAGACGTTCTTCATCGAATTCAGAAGGCCTTCTGCTACGGGACGCGTCATCGACGTTAAAGTCGCCATTTTTTAACTTTGCAAACCATTTCCGTGCTGTAGACTCGCCTATGACACCTTCTCCATACACGTCGCAAATGTCCCGGGCTGCTTCGGCAGCTTTTTGACCTCGATGAAAAGCAAAGAAGAGCAGGTGTCGAAAATGTTGATTTTTGCCTCCTGGGTATTCCATTTCTAAGCCTCAAAACTAATAAAAAATTAAATAACTCAAAAATACAATTAACATAGTTTTGTAGAGCAGAAAGAGTTCTATCGAATGAATACTTACCCGTTGCCAAACAGCAAACAAATCGTTGTAAAATAAAAGAAATTATAAAAACGCTATGAACTTATTCCCCAACCTAATA